TGATTCAAATCATGATTTGAATCATGTTGAAATAGGCCCTTAATGTTCATTTCCCCCAAAATCAATCTATAAGCCCTTGGACAGAGGGAGGATGATAATACTTTCATTTTATGTCCCCCCTGCTTCCATGACAGTGAACAGAGTCTGAGATAACCACACAAGCAAATTGACATAGAAAGTAGGATCACTTTCCAAACCCATCATTATTTCTTCATTGTGGAACAAATGTGCCCTCAATCGAAACTTTCAAGATCTTATGCCATCTTGTCTGTCTCTCTCTCTCTCTCTCTCTCTCTCTCTCTCTCTCTCTCTCTCTCTCTCTCTTTCTCTTCCAGGAAGCCATTGGTTTCTTACAGAGAACATCCCAACTTTTGTGGATTGGGTCATACAGACCAACTACCATACTTATAAATGAACATCTTTATAATTTCTCTTATAGCCAGTTTTGTCAGTAACAAAATTCACATTGATGATGAAAATAAATGTTTAACATCTTTAGCAATCAAAATGGAAATGCAAATCAAAACTACACTAAGATTTCATTTCACTCCAGTTAAAATGGCAACCATCAAGAATATGAATGCTAATAAATGCTGATAAGGATATAAGAGAAAAGGAATACTTATACATTGTTGGCAGGATTGTAAATTAGTACCACCACTACGAAAATCAGTATAAGGATTCCTCAAAAGTCTAGGAATGGAACCACTATATGATTCAGTTTTATTATTCCTTAGTATATATCCAAAAGAATTAAACTCATCATACTATAGTGATACATGCATACTCATGTTTATAGCAATGCAATTCAAAATGGCCAAGTTTTAGGAACAGCCTATGTGCCCAACACCAGATGAATAGATAAAGAAAATGTAGTATATAAACACTATGGAGCTTTATTCAACTATAAAGAAAAATGAAGTTATGTCATTCACAGGAAAATGAATGGAATTTGGCAAAAATTATGTTAAGCAAAAGAAGCCAAACTCAGAAAGTCAAGAGTCATGTGTTTTCTCTCATATGTAGAAGCTAGAGATAAAAGGGGGAAATGTGTGTTTGGGGAGTCTTCATGAAATTAAAAGGGAGACTAGGACAGTAGATGAAGGGAACCAGGAAGAGGGAAGAGGAAAGGGAAAGGGAAGTACTGGGAATGATTATGCTATGTGCATGAATGGGCATTCCCAATGAATCCCCCTATTATGTATAATTATAATATACCAATAAAAATTGAATTTTAAAATCATTTTGATGGCTTTTCATTGTTAGGCTTTCTGGTTCTCCTTTTCCTTAAGGATGCTAACCTCCATCTTATCTCTATAATAGTCACTCACTCACTGAGGAATTCCCTGCCATCACCTCCCCCCACCCACTGGCTCCTGCCCTCATGCTCTGTAACAGTATTCTCTAACTCAAAGGGAAATGGCAACTTAATATTTACTAAATGGACTATAGTGCCAGAAGCTGTGTTAGGCACCCTATATGTATATATCATTTAATCTTCTCAACAATTCAAGAACATATATTCATTAATCTCCTATTTCTTTATATCAACCCAATCTTCACTCTACTTTATGGGTAGCTCTAATGTTCTTAACCTATTCAGTCCCAGTTTTCCATTCTGAGAACCTAATAATCATTTCAAAATTACCGTAAGTGGTACATTTGTTGCGCAAGTTAAGCTTTTATAGATGTTCTACCTCTTGGACAATGGGACTGAATGGATTAAGCAAAGATCGTTTAGAGACTATATATTTTATTCTTTTACCCTTGCAATTCCATGGTGAATCATTCTGTCAGAGGAAATTAGCTTTGTATCCATCTGGAGGTTATTGCTTACCACAGGCAGACACAAATGGAGTCCATGTTTCTTCATTTTATTTCTACAAAAAATTTCTCTTTCAATTTGTATTAGGGTACTAATTAGATTCTTTTCTTAATATTTTTTTTTTTAGTTTTAAGTGGACACAATATCATTATTTTACATTTTTGTGGTGCTGACAATTGAACCCAGTGCCTCATGCATGCTAGGTGAGTACTCTATCACTAACCACAACCCCAGCCCACTAATAAGATTCTTTATTAATATGTTTCTCTCTTCCCCCTAGTTCATCAACTCCTGAAGCAAATCATGTTCTATTTGCATCCATATTCATCTCCCGTTCCTGCTACACTGTAAAAAGTTTAGCAAGTCTTAATATGTGTTTGCTAAATGCAGACATTACCTTCTCTACTTTAAAAGTTTGTTTAGACACAGAAGATCTATCGCACATTTTCATTTATGTGAAATGTTAAGAACAGACAAATTGATAGAGGAAAGCAGTATGGAGATTTCTCGGAAAGCTGGGAATGGAACCACCATTTGACCCAGCTATTCCCCTTCTCGGTCTATTCCCTAAAGCCCTAACAAGAGCATGCTACAGGGACACTGCTA